CCCGCCACACAATGGCCTCGCTGTCCACACGGCGCGCCCTCCCCGGCAGCCCGGCCCCGCGCACGTCTGCACTCACATCTGGGCAACGAGGGGCGGTGGTCGACCGGGATCCAGATCTTCTGTACCCGGCTCTGAGTCAGCTCCAGGGGCATCTTCTCAGCCGAGACTCGGCGGCCCTCCGCCCCTTCTGAAGAATTCGGACTTGGGGAGGTGAGCGGTCTGGCGACCCCCGAAACAAAGGGGGGAGGGGGTGCGTGCGCGAAAGCGCGGCTTTTTGGAAACGTGCTTTGTGCTAAATCACGGACGCTCGCCCGAGGCGTGAGGCTCCCAGAGAGGAGCGGGAGGGCTGGGGCTGCACCCGCAGCTCCCGCAGGGCTGGACTCTTCCGCTCGGGAAGCCCCGGGATGCTCAGAGCGCCGTGACAGCCGCGGTCCCTGTGCGCTGGCTCGAGTGCGCCGCGGTCCACATCAACTGGCCTCCTCTCTGGCTCTGCTGGGATGTCCAGCGCTCCTCCCGGGCTTTTAAGAATCCGGGCCGGCAGAGACGCACACGTCAGCCCCGGGGCGGGGACGCATTCCTCGTGTTCCATCCCCCTTTCACGTGGAAGGAGGGTGGCCCAGCCAGGAGACAGCCTGCTGGCGCCCCCTGCAGGCCGGCGACATCGGCACGCCCGGCTACTGAGGTCCCCCGGATAACGCCCTAAACCAGCCCTGGCTGAAAGTGCTACTCCGTGAGCCTCCTCCTATCATCCCCTAAAAGCGACCTGCGCAGCCTCCCAGAATAATCAACTCAACTGCGCTGGGAGGAAAGAAACAGCACCGTCCACTGTGATCCACGGAGCCCCTCTGCCGAATCACCTGGCATGCTTAATGCATACTGCTGACTCGGTCTCTCTGGGAATGGGACCCCCATACTCTGCATTTTTAGCACGCGCTCCGGGTCAGGCACAGTCAAGGTGAAGACGCAGATTTCGGGTTAAAGGTTGCAGAGAGGTTAGAGGGGACGGGGGTGGGGGTGGGGGGTGTTGTCTCTGCTACCCTAGAGGGAAGCCAGAGGGAGGATGCTGAGAGCGCCTGTGGGTCACTCCTTGCCGGAGCTGCTCCCTAATAATACCTGTGAGTCACCCACCACGGGCCCCGCCACCCACGGGGAGAGGGCTTCCCTGGTCCTTCGTTCTCACCCTGCCCAATTTCCTGAATTCCTTAGAAACCCCAACTAGTGCTGAACATTGCTCCCCCGACACCCAGCCCCCAAGACCTGGAACCCTGGGTCCCGGAATGTCGGGCACGAGGAGGGGCTGGGAGAGACCCGGAGGCTGGACCAAAATGGAACGTGACATCTTGGTTTTCACGGTCACCGTTTGCAATATTTTCGATATACCTTTATCTCTCCGAGTAGAAGAGTAAATAAAATAGATCCTATTCCGACCTGCAATTCATTACTTGGCTGCAAGCCCCGGAATAACTATTGGGAGGCGTCACCATGATTGTGCAAACCCCTAAAATTCGTGCCATTTAACCGGCGCAGCCCTACTGCATCTCTTCCTCGCCAGTTTTTGGTGTATGTGTCCCTTCTGCATCCCCGGTCCCCGCAGCTTTGCATCAGCAGGCGACATGTGGCAGTCGTGTAGTCAGGTCGGTGGCCGCCCCGTGCAGATCTGGGCTGCTTTGAGCGGGGGCTGCCGCCCGCACAGGGCATGGCATGTATGTGACTTTGGAACGCGATGCCTCGGTGCGCAGCGCGGCCCTGCCCTGCAGAGGTGTATCCCTCACGCTGGGCTGCGCCGTGATTGGAAGGAGGCGGCGCTCGCTGAAACCCACACCGCCACGGAACAGTCTGCGCAGAGGCTGCCACACGTCGCTCACGTACCGCATGGCTCGGCTGGGACGGCGCCCGCTCCCTGGCGGCCGTCAAGCTGCTCCCGCCTGCCCCGCCCCCC